CCATGCGTTTCATCGAGCCACACAAGCGAGGTTGGGGGGGGGGGTGCAAGAGAGATATGGGGGGGGGGGATGGCTGCCCACGGGATCGTGAGCTTCCTGCTAGTTTCCGAAATAGCAGACGGGGAAAACGCACGCGCAACGCACGCGCGACGCACGCGCGACTCACGCGCATTAAGACGTGAGACCACTGCACTTTTGTCCAAATGCGTTGACGGGCTAAACACTCGCAATGGAAACATAGCCGATGTCCGTTCGGCGTCCGTGAGCACCGTGGATGTGAGTTCGATCCCTCGCTCCCATCATTCACAAACGCGTTTCCACACCCCCACTGGGCCCCTCCCCCTGGGAGGGCCGCGGTGCTGGAGTTCGCGTCTCGCTCCTCCAACGGCTGACTCGGGGCGCCGTGAGCACCAGCACGGGAAAAAACGAACAAAGAAACGAGGGGCGGAACAACCCTATCCTGAACTCAAAAGTCAACCAGCCGACATCATCCTCAACACACTCGGGGTCCAAACGCACTACCCCCGAATCCACGAGTGAACTAGCGTCAGTCTCGCTTGCGCCTTCACATTGGACAGCTGACACTGGGCAGCAGTGTGGCCATTATCCCAGACCTGGTGCAGATACGGGCAGCGTACATTATTAACACTACACATCGTTTGTTGTCCTTCCCCCGCACCTCCCGCTTAGCACGGTTGTCTACGTACGGCGCGAAATAAGTTTAACATACATACGGACACAGCCGCTAGCGCTAGGAACTACCCCCCCCCCAACCCGAACAACATCCCGACATCTAATCGTACTAGCCACCTACATCACGAGCCAACAAGACTCAATAGCCGCACGCGGCGCTAGCGCTAACCCCCACACGCCGACGAACCTCTCGGCCCCCTGACCCCTGATCAACGAGTGAAAGAGCCCTTAGCACCACTCCTGACCCCATTCGTCAACAAACTCAACTTTACACCTGACCCTATCCAAAGCAGTCGCTAATACCGTCTCGAACCACGAACTTTATCCCCTGCACCCTCTTTCCCTTCCCGTTCATTTTTTCCCTTTTGTTGCTTACGGCCGAATCCGAGCCGGCGTAAAATCTGCCGCCCGGACCTCCGACCTCCGCCCAAAACTGAAGGACGTCAATGAAAAGAAAAAACACCGTGCGTGACCCGGGTTGTTTTGAAACGATGTGCGACGTTTAAAAAAATAAAGGCCGGTAGGTAGGAACCGACGAACGTGAAGTCCTTAAGAGCTTGTTTTGTGTTTATCTGAGCTGCCCGAGCGTTCCCTGATACTTGAAGGTATTGAAATACTGTAGTGAGTGACACGGCCACTGCTGGTGACACCAGCACCATGCCGGCCGAGCGGCCCAAAGGCACGCACGGACCGGTAGGCCCGGCACAGGCTCAACAAAGCTTGTACCAGCGCTGCGAGTCACCAGGCGCCGATATGAACAAGTATAGCCGGTAAAAACCCCAGTGTGTGGCCCAGTGTGTGGCCCAGTGTGGGCCAATGTAGGCCACAGTAGGCCAGTGTGGGCCAGTGCAGCGCCGCAGGCACGAGTGGCGGAGCTTACGCGGCGCGGCGGCCCGAGCGGGGACGGACCGAGTGATTCAACGAGTCGACTGCAGGGCGGCGGATGAGCCGGCCGCAGCCTCTGTTCTAACTGTAAAAAATTGCTTTAAAAAAACCTAAGAAAAGAGTCCCTCCTGCCTCCCCCCACCACAGCGGTAACATTCACCTGGCACCGAAGCCGGCGGGGTTACGGGCCCTGCGTGCCGCGCGAGGGAGGGCCCCCACAGTCGCAGGGTCCCCGTCCACCCTCCCTCTCCCCCCACATCGTGGCGACGAGGGAGATGATGCCGCCACCCGCAAGCATAGGTCCAGGTGGTCGGCGTCGAGGTCACTTTTAAGGCGTAATCGGATGAGTACAAAAATTCATTTTGAGGTTGGGTGCATGTATACAGCAGGGGCTGCTTACACTCGAATGTAGTGGCTGTTCGGAAGCCAGCTAACCGGTCAGCATGAGTTTTTTTTTTCGATGTGTGTAAGAGCTTGCATATGTCTGCTGAGGAGTCCTGTTTGCGTGGACAGCCTCAGGCAAAGACACTTGGTAGGTACGCTGGCTAGCTCAGGATAAGTAGATGCCTGTTGAGTGGTTTTGTAAGCAGGGATTGTTTTTTCATTTGGGCCCAGCCACACCCGTGCCTAAAGGAACCCGGTCGCTCTTTGCTACGGCCCCCCATTCACATTTCTAGTAGGGAAACCCGGTCGCCCGACAATCTCCTAATCTTTTGAACCTCGTCCCCTATTCCCCAAATTATGCTCAGTCGAAGTGCCCTGTACCGTCTATAATCCCCAGCCTAGTCAATAATCCCCAGGCCCAGTGTAGTCTATAATCCCCAGCCCCAGTGTAGTCTATAAGCCCCAGCCCCAGTGTAGTCTATAATACCCAGCCCAAGTGTAGTCTATAATCCCCAGCCCCTGTGCAGTCTATAATCCCCAGCCCCAGTATAGTCTATAATACCCAGCCCAAGTGTAGTCTATAATCCCCAGCCCCTGTGCAGTCTATAATCCCCAGCCCAAATGTAGTCTATAATCCCCAGCCCCAGTGTAGTCTATAATACCCAGCCCAAGTGTAGTCTATAATCCCCAGCCCCTGTGCAGTCTATAATCCCCAGCCCAAGTGTAGTCTATAAGCCCCAGCCCCAGTGTAGTCTATAATCCCCAGCCCCAGTGTAGTCTATAATCCCCAGCCCCAGTGTAGTCTATAATACCCAGCCCAAGTGTAGTCTATAAGCCCCAGCCTCTGTGTAGTCTATAATCCACAGCCCCAGTGTAGTCTATAAGCCCCAGCCCCTGTGTAGTCTATAATCCCCAGCCCCAGTGTAGTCTATAATCTCCAACCCCAGTGTAGTCTATAATCCCCAGCCCCAGTGTAGTTTATAATCCCCAGCCTCTGTGTAGTCTATAATCCCCAGCCCCAGTGCAGTCTATAATCCCCATCCCCTGTGTAGTCTATAAGCCCCAGCCCCTGTGTAGTCTATAAGCCCCAGCCTCTGTGTAGTCTATAATCCCCAGCCCCTGTGTAGTCTATAAGCCCCAGCCCATGTGTAGTCTATAATCCCCAGCCCCAGTGCAGTCTATAATCCCCAGCCCATGTGTAGTCTATAAGCTCCAGCCCCAGTGTAGTCTATAACCCCCAGCCCCAGTGTAGTCTATAATCCCCAGCCCCAGTGCAGTCTATAATCCCCAGCCCCAGTGTAGTCTATAAGCCCCAGCCCCTGTGTAGTCTATAAGCCCCAGCCTCTGTGTAGTCTATAATCCCCAGCCCCTGTGTAGTCTATAATTCCCAGCCCCTGTGTAGTCTATAAGCCCCAGCCCCTGTGTAGTCTATAATCCCCAGCCCCAGTGTAGTCTATAAGCCCCAGCCCCAGTGTAGTCTATAACCCCCAGCCACAGTGTAGTCTATAATCCCCAGTCCCTGTGTAGTCTATAATCCCCAGCCCCAGTGTAGTCTATAATCCCCAGCCCCAGTGTAGTCTATAATCCCCAGCCCCAGTGTAGTCTATAATCCCCAGCCCCTGTGTAGTCTATAATCCCCAGCCCCTGTGTAGTCTATAAGCCCCAGCCCCAGTGTAGTCTATAAGCCCCAGCCCCAGTGTAGTCTATAAGCCCCAGCCCCAGTGTAGTCTATAAGCCCCAGCCCCAGTGTAGTCTATAATCCCCAGCCCCTGTGCAGTCTATAATCCCCAGCCCCAGTGTAGTCTATAAGCCCCAGCCCCAGTGTAGTCTATAACCCCCAGCCCCAGTGTAGTCTATAATTCCCAGCCCCAGTGCAGTCTATAACCCCCAGCCCCAGTGTAGTCTATAAGCCCCAGCCCCTGTGTAGTCTATAAGCCCCAGCCTCTGTGTAGTCTATAATCCCCAGCCCCTGTGTAGTCTATAATCCCCAGCCCCTGTGTAGTCTATAAGCCCCAGCCCCTGTGTAGTCTATAATCCCCAGCCCCAGTGTAGTCTATAAGCCCCAGCCCCAGTGTAGTCTATAACCCCCAGCCCCAGTGTAGTCTATAATCCCCAGTCCCTGTGTAGTCTATAATACCCAGCCCCAGTGTAGTCTATAAGCCCCAGCCCCTGTGTAGTCTATAAGCCCCAGCCCCAGTGTAGTCTATAATACCCAGCCCCAGTGTAGTCTATAAGCCCCAGCCCCAGTGTAGTCTATAATCCCCAGCCTCTGTGCAGTCTATAATCCCCAGCCCCAGTGTAGTCTATAATCCCCAGCCCCAGTGTAGTCTATAATCACCAGCCCCAGTGTAGTCTATAATTCCCGGCCCCAGTGTAGTCTATAAGCCCCAGCCCCTGCGTAGTCTATAATCCCCAGCCCCTGTGTAGTCTATAATCCCCAGCCCCAGTGTAGTCGATAATCCCCAGCCCCAGTGTAGTCTATAAGCCCCAGCCCCTGTGTAGTCTATAAGCCCCAGCCTCTGTGTAGTCTATAATCCCCAGCCCCTGTGTAGTCTATAATCCCCAGCCCCTGTGTAGTCTATAAGCCCCAGCCCCTGTGTAGTCTATAATCCCCAGCCCCAGTGTAGTCTATAAGCCCCAGCCCCAGTGTAGTCTATAACCCCCAGCCCCAGTGTAGTCTATAATCCCCAGTCCCTGTGTAGTCTATAATCCCCAGCCCCAGTGTAGTCTATAATGCCCAGCCCCTGTGTAGTCTATAAGCCCCAGCCCCAGTGTAGTCTATAATACCCAGCCCCAGTGTAGTCTATAATCCCCAGCCCCAGTGTAGTCTATAATCCCCAGCCCCTGTGTAGTCTATAATCCCCAGCCCCTGTGTAGTCTATAAGCCCCAGCCCCAGTGTAGTCTATAATCCCCAGCCCCAGTGTAGTCTATAATCCCCAGCCCCTGTGCAGTCTATAATCCCCAGCCCCAGTGTAGTCTATAATCCCCAGCCCCAGTGTAGTCTATAATCCCCAGCCCCTGTGTAGTCTATAATCACCAGCCCCAGTGTAGTCTATAATTCCCGGCCCCTGTGTAGTCTATAATCCCCAGCCCCAGTGTAGTCGATAATCCCCAGCCCCAGTGTAGTCTATAAGCCCCAGCCCCAGTGTAGTCTATAAGCCCCAGCCCCTGTATAATCTATGTATCACTCCCAGCCTAAGCACCCAAAGCGGTAAGGGTGGAACGATCACCCCCCCCCCCTCCGACCCTGGTGATTTGACAAATTGTCTAGGTTCAGGGTCCGGATTCGCTTCAAGAACGGACCACAATTTTTCGTAACATTGCGCTGAATGTTGGCGGCGTTGGTGGCTGCAGAGGGAGTGATGTGAACCCATTATGCCCGATGCACTCGAATCAGAAAAAAAGTCGATTCTTTCGCACGCGATTTGATGTGCGTGTCGTGAGCTTAAAAATCTAAATTTTATCGGATGCAGCGACGAGTCGTTCCACCCCTACGAAGCGGTAACCCCCTAACCCTGTGCAGCTCATCCCCTCCCTCCTCAGGCTAAGGCCATCTCTCAAACCCTGCTCAATCCACCTGTTAAACCATTGCTTGGGTTAAGGTGCGTACATTTACAAATCTGCAGGTGTGCAAGTGTGGTCAGCTCGCGGGCATATGCGTGGGTGTGCGAGTGAGCGTGCAAGTCTGCGAGGGTTTGAGTGCGAGTGAGCGAGCGTGCACTGGAGTGAATGAGTGCGTAATTGAGCGTGCGTGTGAGTGAATGAGTGCGTAATTGAGCGTGCGTGTGAGAATGCGTACGAGCGCCGTTTGCATGCAAGTATGCGTGCATGAGAGCGAGTGGTTTAGCGTACGTTTGAGCGAGCGAGTGAGCGAGTGAGTAAGTAAGCGAGCGAGCGGTGTGTGCCTGGCTATCCCTGGCTCGGCCACTGTGAAAGAACGGGCCGGTTCAGCAGCTCCTCCATGTGACGCGCCACATCCATCGAGTCCAAGTCGAAGTCCGTGTCGGGCTCCAACATCATCTCCCCACTGCACGTGTAACACGCGCACACGTGCATACACATACACACACACACATGCGTGCACACGCATTCACAAACAAGCATACACATACATGGACGCACACAAACGCACACAAATATCTTAGACAACAATCTTTGACCGTGAAAGACATCTAATAGAAATAATACGTTGTCATCAATTCCTGCATTGGGGATTTTGGAATGTTTCATAATACAACTTCTAAGGGGTGAAGTGGCGACACAGTGGTGAGCACACTGCAATATGAACCCAGCGACCAACATCAATGGCGAGCGATACATTCACTGGTCCTGGACCTTTTGCGCCATTCACCAGCTTGGTGAAGTGTCAAGTAACCCTAATGATTGACAGGATGTGGGGGGGGGTGGCCTTCATCCAGCAGTGCAGTGACAAAGGGCTGCACATATAATTTACGAGAATGCTCTCATATCCTTTCACCGACGTTGACCTGAACCAAGAGGCAACTCTTCGAAACAACAGATTTTTTACAATGTTGCGTTGGCAGCGGTTCACAAACAACAAAACAGTCAACAACACCGCCCACTAAAAAAGCACTCCTCCCAGTAGTAGATATCGGCTCTCGTGTTGTACTTCCGAGTCCGAGACTTCGCGAGCCGACGCTTCAGTCAGCGGTGCCCACACTTGCCTGGGCGCGTAGGTGGCGAAGGTGGCCTGTGTGCTCACAGGCGACATGGAGGAGTGGTCCAGCGTGTAGGGCGTGTTGGGCGCCGAGCTATCCGAGTACGCCGTGGCAAAACTGCGCCATAACAAAAACAACGCACAGCCGCTAACCTCAGCTCTCCGCGACGCACACTCGGGGACTCGCTTTCTCCATGTCGTCGGTTCGTGCGTTCAACCCGCACACCTGCATACTCCTCCCGATTTTTATTTTACTTCCAGCCCACCACGGAAGTGGATATCACACAGCTACCTCTGAGATCCCTTCGAGTGACATGTGGTACGTGCACTTATCACTCGCTCTGCATATGAGAGTAAGATTTGTCGCTTGACAAGTCAAGCCAGCATAGCAGAACAAAACCACATTGAACGTGATGGATTTTATTGTGCAGTCAATGGTGACCGGGCTGAGACCATGGACTCGCTAGACCTTGAGGACGCGGTTTAATCACAGGCGGCTGCCTGGATTCAAACCAAGGACCTCAATGGTGCTGGCTCAGCGATTAAAGCTCTGATCCAACTGATCACTCCACCCCCCTGTGACCTCCTCAGTTTTTGGTAGAATTCCCATTTTCCGGCAGGGTCCAGAAATATTTTCCGGATTGCTGGTTAAGACTCCAGTACGTGGCATGTGACTATTAGCCGCAGCCACAGCGAAGGAAATACTGGATGTGGTGTACCGGGTGCGGAAGTATATCTGGGTCGCCTGCAGAGCGGATCAGTCGGCACACGTGACTTAGTAGCCACAGCCATAGCGAGAGGCACGATGGACGTGGCGTTGCCGCGTGCGGCAATGTTTTTCCGAGTCATTGACGCAGACAGTTAAGCGCTGACGAACAACATTTGTTTGTCAGTGGCTGTAGCGAACCGCGCTGTGTGTGCGTGCATGCTTGTGTACGCGTGTGCGTGCTTGTGTACGCGCGTGCGTGCTTGTGAGAGCGGTGCTTGCCAACAAAGCCGAGGACACTTACTCGGGCACCACCTGCTTTATCTCCGGCTTCACGTAGCCGTCGTCGTTCACCTCACGCCCGTTGGCTGTCGGGAGTAAAAACAGGCACATTGAACGTTCATTTGACGAAATTCTAGCAAACGTATTCTTAGGTTTTTTCGGTAAAGTCACGTAGGTAAAACATCAAAATTAATAAAAATAAAATAAAACAAAAATCACGACGTTTCGGAGGCCTCCGAAATGTCGTGATTTTGTTTTATTTTATTTTTATAAATTTTGATGTTTTACCTACGTGACTTTACCGAAAAAACCTAAGAATATGAATCCTTGCAGTCACGAAAGCTTCAAATCTAGAATTCTAGCAAACGCTCTCCCTCTCGCCAGGTGGGTGGGCAAGTGCTGCTCCCAACCGGCGACTGGACGTCGCGTGTAAGCGTCTCGTAAGTATCTCTGTGATATCATGTTCCCTTCGGCTGCACAACCCCACGAAGGTCTGTACAGCTCTGCCGCTACGACGATAATCACAATACACCGGTATGTAAGTCCATATATTGAACTTCAAACGTGAGACCCTTTTAAACTCCTGCCGGTCCACGGGCCAGTTTCTGAGCATTCAGTGCTGCTCAGGAGGTCCAAACCATGCAAGGTGCTGTCTGTGCTGTCTGTCCTCTTCCTGACTGGTTGCCACTCACTTCAACCAATTCGGGTTGGGCTTGTTAGAACCAATGTACGTATCTATGTTGAATTTCTTTAGTGCCGTAAGTAGCCAACCGCGCTGATCGGAGGTGCGGGGGGAAGTACAACACAAATGCGTAGTGTTAATGTACGCTGCACGTATATCTGCATCAGATCTGGGCTAATGTTCCACACTGCTGCCCAGTGTCAGGGCACCACGTCGAGCGGGCGACGCCGAATGCACCGTGCGGGATGGGGGGGTGGGGGCGGTACGTACGCATCAGCGGCGTGTAGTACTTGGAGAAGGCGTCGTCCTTGAGCCGGTCCGGGTACAGGAACTGAAGGTGGCTGAGATCGCTGATGCGATCGGCCAGCGAGCGGATGCTGAAGTCCTTCGCGGTGTACGGCATGAGGTTCCACACGAGCCGCTCGCCTGCACCAAGCACGCGCAAGGACAGTGAACCCGCACGGAGCCTACGCAGGCGTCGTTAGCGTGCACACAACGAAGGCCAGAATGGCGCGAGACGGGGATGGTAGGCACCGGGTATTCGTAACAAAACGGATTTGACCCACGGGGGGAAGGACCGGTTCAGATATTCACCAACGATGTTGGAAACGAGGGCAGGAATCGAATTCGGGTGGCCGGGTTTGTTCTGCAAAGCAAGCCGTAACGCTCGGTGACAAATTGTTGCTTTAAAAATAACCCGGGGATGCGGCAAGAGGTTACGAATCACTGGTAGCCGACCGCTTTATAGAGTGACGTGGTTGGCAAGGGCGTGCGTGCAACCGTCAATATGCACCCCGGTTGGTGGGGTTGTCGGCGACCCATGCGATGGTGATGCCACCGATCTCGGAGTCGCTGTAGCGCAGCAAGAAGGTCCCATTGGGCTTAGACAGGAGCATGTCCGACGCCTGCTGCTTGTTGGCGAACCCCAGGATAGCCCTGCGCACGGAGGGGGAAGGTGGCGGCGGCGACAATTAAACGTCGTCTCTGTACCAGACTCGGAGACGCATTGGGCTCAGATATAATGTCTTGGACGAGCACAAAATAAATTCTGCTCCAGAATCATCAGGAAAAAGTGTGCCGCTGCAGGAGGCGACACAACTCGCCGTCACTTTTGTGCTTTTGCTGCCAACACTGCCGTAAGTTGACGCCACTTTAGCTTAAACGACTGAAATGCAAACATGATGAATACTGTTTCACTGATGACACTTTACAGTCAATAGTGTGTCAATGGCTTGCGTAAGATTTCTAATCTGTGTGCTAATTTTACTATCTCAAACTGTTATCCAGGAACATTGGTATACACACAGACTTTGGACTGATTTTAAAACTTTCTAGGTATCATCAGTAGAGTCAGGCTTGTACTGGTAGGAACGAAGTGGACCAGACACCAATAGATTATATCGTCCGTCCGTTTGTCCGTCCGTCCGTGTAGCAACATCGCCCCCTACTGCAAACACTTGGCATGACCCTACAAAAACTTTAGACTCAGTGACGCTATCCTGGCTAAACAAGTGTAACATTCCCTTATAATTCCCTCAGATAGCTTTAGATTAAAACATTTAAATTAATGAGGCTTTCCTGGCTAAACACGTGTAACATTCCCTTATAATTCCCTGAGATAGCTTTTAATTAAAACTTTGAAATAAAAAAAAAACTCACAGCGCCCTAAGGCCTACAGCTAGGCCTAAAGCCTAGAACTAGGCCTGAAACTCTCCCTTCAGATCGTACCCACGCGTGTGTGAAAGGGAGTTAATGTTTAACAATGTTACATTCCCTCATGTTTTTAAATAGAAACATTTACATTTAAAGCTTTTACATAAATAATTAAAACATTTATATTAGCAATTAACTCACGGCGGCCTAAGGCCTACAGCTAGGCCTAAAGCCTAGACCTAGGCCTCAAACTCTCCCTTCGTATCGTACCCCCGCGTGTGTGAAAGGGAGTTCATGTTTAACAATGTTACATTCCCTTATGTTTTTAAATAGCAACATTTACATGTAAAGCTTTTACATAAATAATTAAAACATTTATATTAACAATTAACTCACGGCAGCCTAAGGCCTACAGCTAGGCCTAAAGCCTAGACCTAGGCCTCAAACTCTCCCTTCGTATCGTACCCCCGCGTGTGTGAAAGGGAGTTAATGTTTAACAATGTTACATTCCCTGATGTTTTTTAATAGAAACATTTACATTTAAAGCTTTTACATTAAGAACAACTCCCTACCCTCCGATCGTCGGCGGCTCTCCAGCCGGGCCAGGCCTGGGAATCTCTCCCCCGCTTGGGGTGTACTGGGCGGGGCTACAGCGGCAGGGGGCGGGGCTACGCGGGGCTGGGCGGGGCAACGGCAGCAGGGGGCGTGGGCACGAGGTGGAGGGCGGGGCTACGCGGGGTTGGGGCGGGGTTACGGCGGTAAGGAGCGGGGCAATGAGCTGGGGGCGGGGACACCGAGATGGGGCGGGGCCATGGGTGGCCGGGGCAGGGTTACGCGGGTGGAGGGCGGGGCCACGGGGCATCCACTTATTGGCGGCCACTTTTTGCCATTTCATTTTATTATAGCCATTCCATTGTTCGGTCCTACCAGCCCACCCCGCAGGGTCCTGTTTAAACAAATAATGATGTGCTGCTAGATGTTATTGCAAGCTTACTCCACCTTCACAATTGGCCTGTCACTGCAAAATATAATATTGTAAAACATGATACATTGGACTCGACTCTTTCAGGCTCTCACGAGGGCAATTTCATGGAAATCATTACTGCCAAAAAGAGTAGTTGTCAAAATCTGGACAAGTCTGATCACTGTGGGCAACTGGGCATGGCAGTTTTCAATCAGAACATAGAAAGAATGCCACATGACTACCCGATGGCGTGTGCTCTTGTAGACCAATCACTGCTCATCAAGCACACTTTTCAACACAATCCGTGTTCGTTTGGCAGGCAGAACGATAAAGTAACTCTATGCCACTGCTGTATGGAGTTGCTCGTAGTTAAATGCATTGCGGGCAACAATTGCCCAAATATTTCTCGAGAATACCGTGCCCTCGACCGTAGTATGTACGTACGCATCTCGAACTGTGCTAATGGAAGGTGCGGGGGAAGGACAACAAAACGTTCAACCATGTGGTTGAACGAGTTTCAAATTAACGGCCCGTTTTCCGATACAGCAGTGTACACAGCGACCATGGTGGTGTACACAAGGTTTATTTAGCCCCCCGACCACCAAAGAATATTTCTTTCTCTGCCTCGGCCACTAACCCGTCGTTCCAGTGCTGCTTGAGGTGCTTCTTGGTGAGCTCCATGACCCCGTCGAACCACTGCCAAAACGTGAAGTTTCGGCCCTGCAGGCTTTCCTGGTGTCAGAAGGCGCACGCGCACAGCACAAGCGGGTCTTCAGCACGCGATGTACGGCAAAGCGATCCATTCGATTGCAATACGAGTTCAGCCTAAAGGCCACTTTAAAGACTTTTTCTCCCGCGAACAAAGTTTGAACATCAAGTCGGACAGCCTGGTAGACACAAAAACCTACATACGTATCTATTTCCCATAGACACGTCGCTTCGACGCATCGCTGATATTGGTACGGGACTCGTTTCCATCCTAGCCCTGACACGGCTCAGCCTGGGGTACCCTACCCTGTTGAACTGCGCCCAGGAGATGGTGAGGTTGCAGTAGTCGTCGGCGTGGGTGGACGTGCTGTTGAAAGCCTTCTGCGCCAAAAACACGATGTTCTCCTCCGAGAGGCCCCTCTGGCTCTCCACGCTGGCCTTCAGCTTCATGTTGAGGGCATCCACCAGCTGGGGCCATGCCACCTTGTCCGGCACCTGGAACGGCACGCGGCCCTGCCGGCGTGCCGGAGGGGTAGGGGAAGGGGTCCAAACGAACGTGCGTATGCGTGGGTCAGTTGCGATGCTATACACAAGGGCGAGTAGCGATCTTGCTTATTGAACTTCCTTCGGCAAGCCTTCCCCGCTGATAATATGTACACTCCAGATCTTTAGCCTTCTCCGAGTTACTCTAATTAGACCTAATGTCCTCCTTTCTTCTAAAACAGGGGTGAGGAACCCAAGGCCCGTGGGCCATACCGGGTCTGCGACTTTGATCCATGCAGTAGGGGGCAGCACCTGCCCACCAACCCCGCTACACAGCAATGATCATGGCACCGCAGTCACAGTGACAATTTTCATTCTGAGAGCTGGAATTTAGCCAAATTAAGTGCAGAAGGCAATTTCACGTGGCCTTATTTTAGTACATTCATTGCTGACCAGGCTAAAATCACCGACTCAATAGACTTTGGAACCTGATTTAATCACAGGCAGCTGCCTGGATTTGTACCAAGGATCGGAGGCCGTGCCAACTCAGCGCTCTGACCTCTAAGCCACCCCCAGCCACCTCTGTTGCGCATGTTTTGTACGTCACCGCAGTGATGTTACTAGAGGGTGCCTGATACTCGATGATTTTCTCTTACCGTAAACACAGCCTCCTGCTTATGTTTGACAGCCCAGAACACACAGCCTCGTTAAATGGCAAAGCTCCAATTCACATTCGGCATTGCGTTCTGTCTCAGGTTATCTAATTGCAGGTGACATGAGCCAGCGATTAATTAATTAGATTATAGGGAGAGAAGAGGCAGCACTTAATGCTCCAGTGGGTTCCGCTGGTCCATCGCCAAACCACGGAGGCTGCGTGGATTTCTTGGCTGGGAATCCAAAGGCAGGCGGCGTTCACCACCTGCCAGAATTGGAGCCGTGGCAAGCAAGTGCAAGCCTATATCCGTGCATATAAGAGATCAGAGGCTCGTGGTGGCGTTGGTGGCCGTGAGCGGCATGTGCGTTGCGCACCGGTTCGGCAAAGGCGTTGTCCCACAGGACGGTGGCGGTGGCGTTGTTGTCCTGGCTCCCGTGAACGATGACCACTACGGGCAGGGACAGCGTCTACACGCAGCACACACGCAGCACACATGCAGCACACATGCAGCACACAGGCAGCACACGAGCAACACGGGTGACTCCTGGGTTTGGCCAGCCCATCCATGCAGCGGGTTTGGAGGTCGACAGTCAACACGTGCCAGCAGTTCCTCTTGGCACAAGCTCTCGCAATGTTTAAATTATATCGTTTCATTATTTTACAAATTTAGAAATCGCTAAAACAGACCACAAAGAGGTTTCAAAGTGCTGTACGGCATAAAAAACAGCTTTAATTAAAGGTCATGAAAACACAGTTTGGAAATTACACTGCCCCCTAATATAAAAAAACCCAGATTTCTCCAAAATTAGTAAAGATATCTTACGAAATAAAAATCTATTGAATTTAATTCTACAAGGCGAGTATCTCAGAGGTCAGTGCTGAGCTGGGTCCACTACTTGTCACCCTATCCATCCCCACAATGTCCACCTTTGTCTTCATATTACCCTCCCGTGGGTCGATTTTTCCAAGATGGAGGAGGTACAGCATTGGGACTCCCAGCGAGTGTTACAGGCCTGCAACATGCATGTGGCGGCGCGTGCATGCCGAAACCGGTAGCTCGGGGTGTGTGTGTGTGTGCGCGTCCTTACCCGGACTTGAAACACAAGCTCATTGCCCCCGATGCTGAAGTGCGACTGGAAGAGGATGGTGAACTTCTCCTCTGTGACCGACTCCGCCCCACGCCGGTCTGAGCGTTTGATCTTCTTGAGAGACTGGACAAAGACAAGAACACAGAGATCCCCTGTGTAGCCTGCACAGGCCGTTGGGGCGAGTGCTGTCAGCGGAGCACCCATGAAGGTCGGCACGGCGCACGAGGGGGTAAATGTGTGGCCGGCGCAATGGCTGACCACCTTTATCTCCCCCGTTCTGTTTACACACTGCACCAGGTACTCATTTAAGGCTGAGTCAACCGAGGAGAAGCCAATGAGTAATTGAAATCATCACCACGGGTGTTAGCCATGGCCAGGAATCAAGCTCGGACTGCCGTATTTGCAGTGCAATGCGCAAAATCACTACGCTCGCGCTCCCCACTAAAACACGCACACACAAACACACACGCGCCGGCGTGCCTGCATCAGGATTAAACCACAGAGTGTTTGACTCGCCCTCCTAGCTCCGCATCTGCCCTCTCTGACAAGGGGGTGCCCCCCCCGCTACCTGCGAGGTTGCGCGGCCAAAGCCAGAATGCCGCGTGCAACCGACGCATCCAAGCTCTTGCCGGGGCGCTCACCATGTTCCTGAAGTTGGCGGTGAGAGTCCCTGTGGCCTGCTGGAACTCCATGACGCTGCAGTTGTTGAGGATGTCTCCACTGCTCTCACTGTACGAGCGGACAAGGAGACCATTGGTAGGAGTTTAGAGCAAAAGTGTTTTGCAAATGTAAAGAATAATGAAGAAGTCCTGCGGACGCCGACGTATACACAAATGACTTTAGGAAGCGCATTGTTGTATTGCGTTCAAGCGCGACTAACTTCCTCGTCCCATTAAAATAACGTCGTTGTTTCATGAACCGCATTTGTTCCCAGAAACGGTGAAGTCTCGGCACCAAAGTGTGAGTCTACCAGTGCTGTGCTTTGTCAGTTTTGTTGTATAGGTGCGAGGGCCTGCACATTGCTACAAGCCGATTTGGATCGGCTGCAGTCCTCCTTACACATGCGATGGCAAAGATGCCTGTCATTTGACGGTTCGACTTTGTCAGAAATGTCACCATTGCATCTGCGACCATTTTCCTAGCGATCGAGAGCTTAGTTTGAGGGAGACAGCTGTCACTGTGTGGACACGTCGCTCTGTCTTGATGGGCAAGCTCCTGCAACAAATTGCGCACTTCAGTTGGCGGTCGACGTTCGAAGTGGACTGCAATCCTCAAAGGAATGGCGCCACCCTCGTGGTCACCACCCACCCCCTACCCGTGATCCGTGGATCAAACAAATCACGTGAGACGCCAGTGTATGGCAGCAAGAGCAGCTTTTGCAAATACTGTCGCAAGAGGTTACACGTTTGTCCTTTGCCGATTATGCGTGATGGAGCAATTTCGTGTGACACAGATCAAGGAATCGCGTTTAACCTAAACTGAGAACCACAACATGGTCTATCAAGATGCAAGATCTCAGATCAAGACATGCAAAGCCGTGACTCAACCGCATCCGGTTCTGCCGCTCACCAACAACAAAACGGACAACACGCCCTCCTGGCTCGTGGTTGTCAAAGGCTGTGATGCAATGGAATTAGCACGGGGCTGGCCCTCTGTCGAATTTCCTTTTTCGTCGCCCGGCGCTTGGACCCCCCCCCCGCTCCAGCCACCGATGATTACCGACACAGTCGCACCCCCTGCGTACACTCGATAACTACCCCGTTGCTCTGGCTCCCGCCGACGTCACGTCGGGCCCCGGCGGTGGCGGCAGGAGCCACTCACTTGCGCGTGTTCTCGTTCTTGAGCAGGGCTTTGGCCTGCTGCTCGCTGATGATGGTGGCCACCACCTGCGGCGGGTTCATGTGCACGTTCAGCTTTCCGCCCACCAGCAGCCGCACCGTCGCAGCAAACTTGGTCTGCGTCTTGAGCACTTGCGGCGGCTGCTTCTCGATAATGAACGTGCTGCGTGGGGTGTGGGGTGATGGCGGACGGGGATTACAGGTGCAAACATCTCAGTCATGTGTCTACTTCGAAAACCGACGAACTGGCATGAGCACGTTAACGAGAGGAAAAAGGCAAGCGAGAGCATCGCGTTAGCGCGCTAAAGGTGAGCATTTTCCGCGTGAACATTGGACGACGGTAAGGTACGCGTTAATGTGTTGTCACCCAATAGGCGTTTCAGGGTGAGGAAAACTTTCCTTACCCCTCGGCCTAACCCATAGATTCTCACGCACACGGTTCGATGCGCGCATTGCGATTGTTCAAGATCATTAATTTCTAAATCCTCGACGACTCGTTGAGATGCGCGGCGGCAGCAGCAGCGTTTGCTCGGCGGGTACCTGGTGACGAGCGCGGAGAGCAGGGCGGTGATGGTGGAGTTGAGCTCGGTGAGGATTTCCTGGCACTGCCCCATGATGGGCAGCTGCTGCAGGTGCAGCTCCACGCGCTTGATCTGCTGCCGGTTCTGCCACACGAATCTCCGCCAGCTTCTCGCACCTGGCACAGCCACGCAGGGACGGGGTCCCGTGTGAACGCTACGGCCGCAAAAGGCGAGCGTACACGTGTTTCCACTTGTATGTGGAAACACGTGTACACGCAGCATGGACACAGACACAAGCGTGCACATGTACACATGCAAAGTCAAGATTCCCCCCATATAGGCATGCAGGCTGTTGCGGCAAGTGCTGCTGGGGAGCGCCTATCAAGATCGTAATGGTGCACGATGGAGCGATGTGGTTATTACCATGGCTGGCCACCTTTGTACCTCCAGTGTTGATATTTACAGCGTGCACCAGGTACTAATTTAGGCTGAGTTGATCGAGGGGAGGCCCAGGACTGGTTCAGATAATTTGTCACTGGTGTTGGCCGTGAGTGCGAATCAAACTCAGGTCGCCAGGTCTGTAGCGCAGCGCGCTAACTGCTACACTACCACTCCCCATACATACACGGGGACAGATACACATGAACACACAGGCCTACACAGACACACAATGGTACACACAGGCACATATAAACGTAAACAAATGTACTCAAGAAGACAGACACACGCATGTGAATGGACATGGACACAAGCACGCCCCGTGTACACATACAGACATGGACAAGTTCACATTGATACATGTGGACTTACAGAGTGACACACTTACAGAGACACGCCACTGATGCTGGGCATGACCGGGAATAAAAATCAGGTCACCGGGTTCGGAGCAGGATTACGCAAACACATGGGAGCGCATGGCAGCACACAAACACATCAGCATGCACACTTGCACACAAAGACAAAGATCCCCCGTATAGATTTAACAGACTATTGGAGCAAGTGCTGTTAGCGAGCACCTATGAAGGCCAGCACGGCACACGAGAGGGTGGGTAGCCAGCACCACGTCCGGCTGCCATTGACTCCCTCTTGGCGATGTTTACACACCGCACCAGGTACTCATTTGAGGCCGAGTAGACCCAGGGGAGGCCCAGGACCGGTTGAGATAATCGTCACCAGTGTTGGTGGGTCGTGATCGGGAATTGAACTCGGGTCATAGGGTTCGCAGCGCAGCACGCTAACAGCTACACCACCGCTCCCAAACATACACACATATATATACAAACGAGCAGATGCGCACACGTGCACGCAACCCCCAGAGTACTTGTGGTGTCAGTGAGTTTGCTCAGAATAATCCAAAGGAGGAAGAGCTTGAGTTGACTTAAGTTTATTGGGGAGCTTACACGATAAATATGGCTTACGTTTAAATGAGGGTTCATTTTCAAAACCAGCTTTAACGTAAAGCGCAGGTTACATTTAAATGTGGATTACATCCTTAATAGGTGGCTCGAATTAAAAAAGCATCTTAACATGAATATTTGATGACATCAACAGATGTGAATGTAGATGTGCGTGTGTATGTAAATGTGCGTGTGTATGTAGATGTGTGTGTGTATGTAGATGTGTGTGTATGCAGAAGTGTGTGTGTGTGTAGATGTGCGTGTGCATGTAGATGTGTGTGTGTATGCAGAAGTGTGTGTGTATGTAGATGTGCGTGTGCATGTGTGCGCTATTTTGGTATTTGTGCGAAATGTTAACGTTGTAGTTCTAGTGCTGCACTCTCAACTGGACGACCTGAGATTCTCCGCCACAGCTAACATCAGTCGCAAATGTGTGAACTGGTTCGGTGTGTACATAACATCCGCACTGGGGAAACAAAGGTGGCCAGCATGGCGTTGTCCACACCACCCCCTCTTGCGCCATTCCGGCACTTACTAATAGACTCTGAAAGGCTACAGAGGGGGTCTTTGTCCGTTTAATGCAAGATGCAAGTGTACACAGCGTAACAGGTGCAGGAGTGTGAGCTTCACGGGTGAGGAACATGTGAGTACGTGCAGGAGTGCACAGGTGTGTGACCACAAGCAGCGGCGTGTGGGTGAGTGGGCATGCGTGCGTGCGTGCGTTCGGAGAGGAGGTAGGGTACGGGTTCTGCCCACCAGCCCTGCAGGCAGTCGAGCCCCCCCTCGGAGGGCCCCCCGTTGCCGGCCAGCTGCTGTCGGCGCTTCCACTGGATGAGCTCGTCGTCCAGGATGGTGGTCTGCAGCTTGGTGAGCAGCTGGAACGTCTTCTTGTGCTTCTCCGCCAGCGCCTGCAGGAGGATCGCGCGCCCATTCCGCGGCAAGCGAGCGGAGGGGATGCACGCGGTGAGGATTAACACGGCGTGGCGCAGAGGGCGGGTCTCACGTGAAGGTCCGCTGTGTAGCAGTTAGGCGTCTGATGAATTGGCACGATTCGGAGTCATGTACTGCGCATCTCATTTGTATTGTTTGTTCTTATGTAGTCCCTGTTGTTGGTACCATCACATTCTTATGTCTGTACCATGCACTTTGTTTCGTCTCATTTGCACTGTCTTTTCTTTTGTCTTGTGCCTGATATACACTTTGAATGGTACGCCTCAAACTCCATTATTTCAAAATCATATCTATTACATGCCATCGGTTCAAGAAAACAAACGCACCACCAGAGACAAAATTTATCGATTCCTGAATCAAAGCAAGACCCCTCTGGGTGACAATTCACCGAACCACGGAAGGGAGGAGGGTGGCGTGGGACGAGGTTAATCCTCACGTGCCTATTATCAACGACGCAATTAATAAACCGTCCAAAATCACCAACACTCATTCTCCACGGCGGCAGCCAAAACCTCTGCCGTGGACCCAGCTCATTTGGCGACGGTGGGTTGCTTTTCCGCCACGCGGGGAGAGGTCACCTTGCCGTTCACCCCACAAGTGTCGGCGAGGGCAGATTAACGAGACCCACGGCTATGTCAGTACCTTGGGGACATTTTACACCTGCCACCAATGCTCAAGCCTGCCTTAAAGCACAATGTCGTAAACAACAAACGTGCGTGCGTGTGACCCAGTGGCACTCCCACCAGGCGCAACTTCTGCAGCTGCTGAGCTTCTTGCTGCAGGATGCTGTCCATGTTGACGCGGCGCTGCTGCAGGCTCTGCTGCATGCTCTGCACCGAGCTCTGGTCCTGGGGTGGGCGCGCCGGCTGGGACAGTTGGTGCAGCTGCCCTGCTCCGCACCACACACACGTACACGCAGCCGGGGTTAGCCCCCTGCCCACAGCTTACCTCCGTGGTCCAAGGAAAACGGACTGATACCGCTGGTCAGAGGTCGCAAACGGGTTTTGATTCCTTACCCGTACCCATACCCGGCCGCACCAGGGTCGCAAACGGGTACCCGTACCCGGCCGTACCTGTACCGTACCCGGCTGGGTACGGGTAGGGTACGGGTATCGGGTACCTGATTGCGACATCTGGGATGAAGCCATGTTCCAGGCGCGGGTGGGTTGATTCTAGGAACTTGAATTGTGAGAAGAAACAAGACGTTGGGAAATGAGTGACAAACAGTTGCTCACCAGTGACTCACGGTCTACCCGTACCCGTACCAGGCCGCACCAGGATCGCAAACGGGTACCCGTACCCGGCTGGGTACGGGTAGCCGGGTATCGGGTAGGGTACGGGTATCGGGTACCCGGTTGCGACCTCTGCCGCTGGTGCTCAAGTGTCCCTGTGCACCTGGCCTGGCGCGGGCGCCGTGGTGACGTAACCATCGCTTAGTGGCGAACGGCGGGTGTTGTATTATTATTGTTACTAGCTTGTTTGCCCGTCCTAGGACGGAAGCAGTTATATTTACGAAAAATTTGTCCAGAGTATAACTGTATCTTGTGTAAATTTAATGGCAGTGAATCTTGCACAAAAGTTCGTCATCAAACACTTCACTGCATTTCGATGTAGCACTGTATTAATGGCAGTGAATCTTGCACAAAACTACGTCATAAAACACCTCACTTCATGCCACTGTAGCACTGTATATAACTGACCTTCAATTTGTTCAAATTCACTGCTCTGATACTTTATTCTCTTCTGCTTTCGGTCGCTGGGGTTGAAATAAATTTTAATTCGATACAATATCTGGAAAATCACCGAGAAATGTCTATTTTATCATAATGTAGAAGCGTACTTACTTTTTGTCTCAAGAGCTGAAGAAATAAAAACACCAAATCCACTTTGTTGCCGCGTAGAATTATTTATCTTACTCACTTTCAATAAAGAAACGTCAAACTTAAAGCGAATATGCGAAAAAAAATGTCTTTCCGCTCGACCTTCTTCTGCCTGAGTGTAAAAATCCACCTGCTCATGAATATTAATGACGGGGGGGGGGGGGGGGGGGTTGCGGCATGTGGAGTGACGTCACGCACATTACACACACACAGACATTCTTGGCTCATTATAGTAGTAATTGTGAGTGTGCGTGTTTATCATAAGTGGTCACTAACAGCACTTGCCCCGTCAGCACAAAGTAGATTATCTGACGGAGCCTTTGTCTGTTTATATGTTCGTCAACAAAGTCATGGGACGGAGAGGTGGCGCGCATTGGAGTGGTGGCACAGTCATTGGTGCATTCACTACGAGCCCGATGATCTGAGTTCAATTCCCGGCCACGGCCAACATTAGCTGCAAGTGATATCTCTACTTTCCTGTCGCTCTCCAACCCCAACACGGTGAAGAATGATCAAACAACTTGTCCAACAGTGAATCGACAAAACATTGTTCGGAATTACTATCATCTGAATGGCAATCCCAAACAAGCCTGGGGTGACTTTGTCCGGACGGTCAAGCATCGGTTTCTTTCGCCAAATATCCACGGGTGAACTGACATGTGGGAAGAAACAGGATTTACCCGGAACAAAACTCATGCATTCCAGAGGGGTAACACTTAAAGAGGCCCGCACAGATAGACTCGACTATCCACGCACATACCTTGAATGCGCAGGCTCTCCTGGTAGTGGATGATGAAGTACTCCTGGCTCTGCTGCAGCATGCGCAGGTCGGTGTCCGTCTCGTTGGTCATGGCGCGGAGCTCCTCGAAGGTGGCCGTGATCTGTGCCTGCTTCTGGGACATGCTGTCCACGGGGCTCAGCGGCGTCCCCGGCTGAACATCACAAACACAGAGATCGCCCCCCACCCGTGAAGCCTTTAACACGCTGTTGGACCAAGTGCTGTTAGCAAGCAGCCAACAGGGCCGGCACGGCGCACGAGAAGGTGGTGTGGTGAAGCGTGACCTCTAAATAGCATAAATACAGTGCTCTTATTTTCACAATAAAAAAGGTAAACATCTCTTCATTGAAGGTGGAGAAAAATCTTTAAATAAGAATTATAGTCCTGATAATTGGTTGACATACTATGGCTCAGGTAAAAAGCGACATTATAATTATACTCACAATCATCCATATCCTCAAAGGGAAGCAAAAGGAAACCCCCTTGACTTTCTGAAACAAGTACGGTGCCTGAATGGTTTATATAAATAGTTAAAGAGGCGAGTACGTCTTCCGTCACCAACCGTAACGTGTTATGATTTTACAATAACATGCACATTGCAATGACTAAGAGAAAAGACTCGCTGCATATCTATTAAAGTTTGTTTGAAGGTAAACAGAATTAAAATAATGAAATTAATATCTGTCCTCTAATCCGCTGTTCTTTGAAGGCCTCTCCATGCAGCGTCGGTTACGGGAGGGTTGTTTGATCAAACTTGACCACACTGGTCAGTACGTGTCGGTGAAGGCGGGGGAGCACAGATGTTGTTGGAGCAAGTTCCAACCAATGGGGTTTCGCTCTACGCTGTCCTCTGCCCACAACTTAGCCCCGCAGAAGCAAGGCGGGCATGGGACGGTGATGGGGGGGAGGGCACTGTACTGGGCGCCAAATGCGCAAGTCACACCTCTGGCAGCAGCTGGGCTCGCAAGAGCATGTTATCAGCTCCAACGAGCGGATGATTATCGGCACGGAAATCGTTTAGAAAAAAAAAAGAAACCCGTAACGTGAGGCTTTGCAGATGTTTCACGAATGAAATCAAATTCCCAAGGCCACAAAGCGGAGCCTGTTTGCGAGCGCGTAACGCCGAGTGCGGAGCGTCCTGACACGGAGGAGCGGGCTCGATTACCGCAAATCCGCGGAGGCAATTAATGCGCAATCTCAAACGGTCTAATTATGTCGATTAATTGAACCGTTATAAAAAAAAACCACAAACGTGGCGCAGTGCCATGGTGGTGGCACGGCGCAGTGGGTTTACAAATCCGTCGACACCGGTTCGATTCCCGGCCACGGCTAACATCAGTGGGCAAGTGGTATCTGCGCTGCACAAACCCGCCCACACCAACCCCTACGGACAAGTATTGTGTACAGCTACTTGCTTTTGAGGCAGGGGTTGGTGAGTCACGGAGAGATGTGTGAAGCTCCCAAACCTGGTGTGTCGCCATGAGGTGTCCACGAGATGGCAGTATAGCAAGTGGGTTTGTGAACCTCTTTGCGTGGACCCTTGCATACGATCCTCTCGCGTGTGTTGCGTTTCTATTTTTTTAATTCTATTTTTGTCTCGCATGCAAAGATGCCTTCAAATTGAAAATGGCCAAACATTGCAATGTTGGACGCTCCTAAAAAATATTCTTTGAGACCGATTGCGAAAGAAGTTCCAACGTACATACATACGTGATGGTAATTGTGACAGTGATGGTTATGGTAGTTGTGACAGCAGTGATGATGGTGATAAGAATGATGATGGTTGCGATGGTGTTAATTGTGCCAAGGGTGGTGATGATGACAGTTGTGATGGTGGTGGTGGCGCCGCGCTCACTCACGTTGGCCGACTCGCGCACCAGGCGCTGCTCATGGAACAGGATCTGCTTCACCGTCTTCACGAGCTCCATGGGCGTGTGCTCATAGTGAGTCTGAGGTGGGCGACAAGGATGCGGCAGAGCGACACGGATTACACAGCGGAAATAAACAAACATACGCATACGTACCAGAGTACGGTAATCGAAACACACACAGGTGACTCCTAAAGCAGCAGAAAGCACGAATCTGTCAATGGGATCGGTCCTCTGATCATGAGCTGCAGGTCACATGACATCAACATACCGTGTGTATAATGCACACAGCCTTGTTTTAAACGCCAGCTCAAAAGAGTCAAAACTGTGGCCCATATTATTCCAGACAGCAGCAGAACAATAAGAAGGCTGCATACCGGTTTCATTATTTGACGGAATTGTCAGAACCATAGAGCCATCATTGCCCACCGCTGGTTTTGCTAAGGAGGCAAGCTGTGGACAGGTTTCAACTTCTCTGAATCTCCATCAGAAGATTGCTCCCGGTTATGAAAATAGCTCCTTGATTGCCTGGTGATATAGGCAAGAGATCTGCATGTATAGTGTGGGGCCAGTTAAAAGCAGAACGTAACATTGAACAGTTATTACAGGTCGCCTTGGCGGATTGTGGCCATTTAGCTGATAAATGAATTGCAATTTTATGGCAATTGTTGATGGTCAAATAGAACATTGCGTGCTTATTTATCACCTTAATACCCACACAACACCAGAATGGCACGTAACAATTTAGAGCACCGAGGGAGGCGGTTCTAATAATAATGTTCGTTGTTTATCCAGGAAAGCCTCACTTTAGTCCAAAGACTCTTTTTCAGGAGGTTTTCCGCAGTGGGACGTTCAGCCAATTCCACTCACGAGTACGTGGCTGCACGTGGGAGGAAACCGGAGAACCAGGAGAAAACTCGCCACCCATACTATTTAAACGATAATTTGTATTTTTGTATTTTACCATGCTAGGCCCACTGAGCTCGATAGTAGCTCTTTTTTCAGAAGTGACCTGGCCACAAATGATTGCTCAAAAAGGGGCTTATCACCTGGAAATTTACATCAGCCATATATGCATGTTGATTCTAAATGTGGAGGGAAAAACTGAAGTACCCGGACAAAAATCCACACGACCACGGAAAAAGAGACACGGAAACTCCAAACACACAAGCGTCAGGGTCGGGATCGAACCCACGACCTCCTGTATACCAGGCGAGGTAGTTAACATCCTGCCACTGTGGCGCCCATACGAGGGGGGGTAACACTCCAAACTCCGCACAGATGGTTTCAATCGACACGCTCTGCCGTCATCTCGTGGGCATCTCAAAAAACCGGCGAGGTTTAGGAACGCTGGAACGCACAGGTGTGCGTCACCACGCACGCCTAGCGATCACCTGAATCTGTGCACTCCTACACACTTCCAGACTTCCATGTAACCGATAGCTCTGTAAGTTACATGGAAGTGTGTGTGTGGGAGTCAGGTCAAAGCTGGCTGCATATAAGGCATGCACGGTGCGGCTGTTAACAAGAATTCGTCACGTGTAGCTCGGTTAACATGACCCTGTTTCATTGACTAAGCCACGCTGTTTGGATACAATCACAGATGGCTGCGACCGGGTGGTGCAGTAGTAAAGCTACAGCAGCAGCAGCAGCCACAAGGCAAAACTCACAGCGATCATCCAATCTGTAAGGGGTCACTCCTTCTTCTCTGCCATTAAGTTTCCACTACTACACTGACCCAGCCAAGCTGTCCGGGTATATTCACCGGTGACTGCGACTGGGTGGTGTGGGTCGACAGGCAGCTGCAGGCACGTCTGCGTGCAAAACTCACAGTGAGGGGTTGCCCTGTCTCTTCTGCTGCCTGCGACTGTCCAGAAACCCATCCCACTAATCGTCTACATTGCTGCCTCTGTCCCTCCGTTAAAAGTCCAGGGTTAAAACATTCCCCGAGTCCTCCACCTTTGACTGGGGACGTCTGCAGTGACATCTTGGCTCTCGTTTCCCTACCACTACCTCCTGTGTTCTACAAGTGTTTGGTGATAGGGTCGCATTTCATACCTTGACAATCAAAACTGTTACTCAACTGTAATACGGCACCACCCGCATCTCTTTGAGAACACGTGACGGGATATAACGTGTTGTGCATTTTACAGGTTTTTATGGCTGATATAGTAACATCAGCATCTGCAGCGGTGTATCAGTCATAACAGCAACACCTGCATCTGTGTTCTACAGTAATAACAGCGTCACGTGTACGATCTGTGTGTTCTACAGTAATAACAGTGTCACGTGCAGTATCTGTGTGTTCTACAGTAATAACAGCATCACGTGTACTATCTGTGTGTTCTATAGTAATAACAGCGTCACCTGCAGCTGTGTTCTACAGTAATAACAGCATCACGTGCGTATCTGTGTGTTCTATAGTAATAACAGCGCCACCTGCAGCTGTTCTACAGTAATAACAGCGTCACGTGTACTATCTGTGTGTTCTATAGTAATAACAGCGTCACCTGCAGCTGTGTTCTACAGTAATAAGAGTGTCACGTGCAGTATCTGTGTGTTCTACAGTAATAACAGCATCACCTGCAGCTGTGTTCTACAATAATAACAGCGTCACCTGCGTATCTGTGTGTTCTACAGTAATAACAGCGTCACGTGCGTATCTGTGTGTTCTACAGTAATAACAGCGTCACCTGCAGCTGCGTGGCGTAGCTATCAAGCTTCAGCTTGAGCACAAAGACGTCGTCACCCACGAGCTGGCCGGCCTTCCTGTGCAGCTCCTGCACCAGGTTGTCGAGCAGCACCTTGGCGCGGAACTCCTCTTGAGGGTTGTCCACCTCCACCTCATCCCTGCACATGCGCGCGGCAGGTGGGAGTTAGGTTTCGCTGTCCACCTTCTATTCCCATAATCAGGGGATGATCGGTTTAACGATCAGCCCGCCCACCCACCCCCACTCACATGGAGATTTGATGGATTGTCGCGAGGCTGATTAGTGATTCAAGTTGAGAATCAATATATTTTTGTTAAACATTGGGGTGAGTGGATAGTATATCGGTGGAACGCCGATTCAATTGATTGAAATCTATTCTTAAGCTCACAGTGCATTGTGGGTGAAATTATTCACTTTTACAGCATTCCAAGGAAATCTTCTGCAAGTATCGTGTGAATCCACCGATACAGGCCTCCCTATGCTGAATTGACCATGGGGGTTGTTTAACCACACTTGTTGTTTAACCATACTTCACCATGTTGGTCAGTGCGGGTTGGAAAATAGACGGAGTTCTGAGCACAGTGCGCTGAATGGAAATGGGTTAAAATGCAATATCATGCACGGCACTTTGTCAATCCACTGCTGGATGTAGGCCTCGCCACCAACGTCAACCACGGCCAGGGATTTAATTCACGTTGCCATGTGGGTATTATTTGAACATCCGTCATTGAAGCCCGATAATATTATAAAATCCTGCTGCTGATGGTGATTATGCTGACGAAGCTGACGATGATGCTGATGATGTTGATGATGTTGATCGTGCCAGGGTGGAGCCCTCACCATCTCTGCTGCTCCACCCACTGGCACACGTAGTGGCGGACCTCGATGGGGAAGTGCTGCCCGTAGAGCGACTGCATCTGCCGAAGATAGTCTCCCTGCAGCTGTTGGGCCTGGCTCCACAGTGCCATGGTCGCCAGCCTCCCTGCTACACGGAACAGAGCAGCAGCAGCAGCAGCAGCGGCAGCAGTAGCAGCAGCGGCGGCAGCAGCAGCGGCACGGTAAAACAGAGTTCCCGACGCGAGCAATGTGAATGCCTGGGGCACAGCGAGAGATCGCCATGCGCGCAAAGCCACGAGTTACATCGTCGAACGTATCACAGGGTGTCCATCGTGCGCACCTGCACTGCACCGTATCCACAAATGCATGCGCCACACTGCATTGCACATGCACGCTGCGTCACGTGACGCACGACGCACTCAAAAGTCAAATTGATTTCTTGCTCAATTGAGCATTGAGGTTTTGGTGTCCATCGCCTATCTATAGCCCTGAGTCCTGCGGCAAGTTTATCTATCGGAAACCCCCCCTCTGATCTTCGCACCTAATAGACTCACAGTGATAACATCACCTTACTATATTTAGGACTGGAAACAGGAGGATTTCTTCACAATTCTGGAAAAAATTGCCTGATGAAGCTGGTTGTAATTAACAGCGAAACATCATACTCAAATTGTAAATGTTCTGGATTTACTCTCCAACACACTGGTATGCTGCAGTTGTAATTAATCGCCACGTTTTCTTTCCATGACAAACCTCATTAATCGGTTGTGTCGGGTGGTGGTGAGTTAATGACCCATTTAAATTTCCGCGATCTAACCCAAAAAAAACCTTTTTTATGGAAAACGACTGTTGACTACCCCACAAAGTTGTACGTATTTTATTAACGCTGGAGAAATTATGGGCTGAGTCGACCCCCAACCACGATTTGAACTCTCACATTACATTACATACACGCTACATTTCACACACACCCGCAGTACAATGCATAACACTCACTCACACACACATGCTACATATTATACAAAAGCCACATTTCACACCAGCACATAGAATGCATAACAAGACAAAGACAATACACATGCAAGTGCTATATCACACATACACAAGCTGCCTTTGTTCACACATGCATACACTACATCAAAGACAAAGATTCATGTGTTTGCCACACAGACTGTTGGAGCAAGTGCTCTTAGCGAGCACCTACTAAGGCTTGAACAGCACATGAAGGGGTAGTGTGGTCAAAACCAGGCGCAGCTGCCTTGAGTCTCCCCTGTGATGTTGTTTAAAGACTGCACCAGGTACTCATTTGAGGTCAAGTTGACCTAAGGGAGGCCCCGAACAGTTTCAGATATCACATGCCAATGGTATTATCCATGGCCGGGAAATGAATCCAGATTGCTGGGATCATAACCACTGTGCCACCACCTTTCACACAAACAAATACTGCTAACATTAATCCCATGCATGCAATTTGGTTCATGAATAATAAAGAAATTAAAATATACAAACACATGCTCCATCAACAATTGCTTTTCACCACTAAGCGACGTCACCACGGCTGTTGTGCCAGGCTAGGTGCACATTGTGTGCACATGCTGCATTACACACACACACGCACAGCTACGCAAGTTGTTATTGTACGTTACGCAAATTGTAAAGCTACTCTTGCAGCTCTTTCCACTACTACCTCCCCAAATCCCTCATCTCCAAAATCCAGATGATCCAGGATACCGCTGCCAGACTCGTCACCCGCACCCGCAAACGAGACCACATCACCCCAATCCTCCAATCCCTCGCGTCCAGCTCCCAATCCAAGCCTGGCTCGATTTCAAGATCACACTTACTGTCTTCCACATCCTCCACGGACTCACCCCTGCATACCTCTCTCCTCTCATCTCACTTCTACTGCCCTTCACACACTCTCCCACCTCACCCCTTTCATCTAACTCCTACTGCCCTTCATGCACTCTCCCACCTATCCCCTTCTCATACTCTCCTACCCCTTCCCTCTCACCTTACTCTAAACTCCCCTCCATGCACACTCCCGTAGATCTCCCTTCTCATCTTGCTCTACTCCCTTTCGTGCCCTCTCCGCTCCAACAACCGAGGCTTTCTGTCGAAGCCCCCATTCAGTGTTCACAAGGAGTCAGGTAGCTCATGCTTATATGCTTCAAACAGTCGGCAACTCCCTTCCCCCAGCCACCCGTGCTGCCAACTCCCTGCCTTGGTTTTTAAGAATCAGGCTCAAGACCTTCCTCTCTTCTGTCTAGAAATTACTGCCTCGCTCTCTTTCTCCCTGTATATACAATGAACATGTTCAGGTTCAGAATAAGAATATTAATTTAGACTGGAGGAATCCGATAGAGTTATTTTTCACAGATGTCCAGGTAAAGCCCACTGGCGTCTATTTTTCAGAAGCGACCCGGCCACAAAATGAAAGCTCAACAAAGTGGCTTATCACGTGGAAATTTATAGCAGCAAAATAATCGACATAATCTCAATGCATGTTTCTGTAAAGTGTCGTGAGATGCGGTCGCATTTGGGCCTGGTGACATGAATCCACGTTGCATTGTGTGGTTTGTGCAGATCCTTTCCAGTTTAGAAAACACGTCCACAAGTGACCGCTTGTTTTTTTCAATGCCCGAGTACTGAAATCAATTCGTATTGTGGTTGATTTGAGATGAAATGGAGGTCACATGTGGCTACTCCACAGGAACGGAATTGTAATAATAAGATCAAACGAGTTTAGAGTTTATAGTCATCTATCAGGCGAGAACTGAAGAGGGACCAGCGTGGCACCATATGCAACAATGACCACAGGCTTTAGTCGGCCAGCAGGGGAAAGTGACTGCAATGTACAATGCAAATTGAGTGATTTGCGGGGTAATTATCGAATAAGGCAAATTTGGACCCTGATAGATGCCGGCACTCAGTGCCTACCTAACCGTGAAGCAGATGGCGCGTAGTGTTACTGCGGTTGCGACACCGGCAGAATTGATTAGGGCGGCCGCTGGATTAGAAACTGCGAACCTCTGAAACGAGCGGCGAAAGGTGCTCCCCCGCTGGGCCGTGTCACAGCCCCAGTGGTAAAACAAATTATCAAATACGAGACGTGGCGATGACACTGGCTCTTTCGTGTATCACACGCTGGCCTGCTGTGTAAGAAAAATGCGTACGAACCATAAAAACCCATTGCTAGGCTCCCGAGAAACTTGGTGGGTATCAGGTTTCCGTGTCCCACGCTCTAATTCCTTCACCGTAGATTTGACCGAGTGAGGAAAGGAATATATTGACTCATGTGTCAAATCCATCGGCACATCGGATTGTCCGTGTAACAATCGATTATTTACCATTCACACAAACTACGTGCCAGACATTACACTTTGGCTCGCGTGACTTCGAAAGAGATGGAACAAACGACAAAGTACAAACGGAATGGTAAAAACAAGATGATAAAAAAGCTTCTATTCTTAGAGAGAATCGTGACCATGAATCACGACCATCGCCAGGTGGTGGTGGCGGATCGTCGCATGCCCAATGCATGTATGTTGGTTGTGTGTTAGACACGACAGGCGTAGTGAGCAGTCGCCACCCATTGACTCCCCGGCAAGATAATGTAAAAAAAAAACATACGGCGAAACTATGACGGTAAATGAACACCAGACAACCCAGCCGGGTACCAGACGGACACACCTTTGTACGCAGTGGTACGAGGAATGCCCGCTCTCTCCTGTGTCTGTAATTAATATTGTGGTAAAGGGCACTTCGCGTGAGCAGACATCTCTTTACAGCGATTTACTTTTGCTGCAAAGACACGCAAACGTGCTCTTGTTTCACTTCCCCGTGGCTCCGTGCCAAGTCAATGTCAAGTGGCAATTTCTTATTCTTCTTCTTCTTCCTGTTTGGCCTGGGGTCCTTAAACAGGGGTCCTACAATTAAAAAAAATGAATCCTCAGCTTCGTGAGATGACGCGAGTCGCCCTCCACCGCCTTCCCCAAAACGCCTGCCTTTTTCCGTCTCCCTTTCATCGGAGGCACAAACCACACCAGCCCCAGGCCCAACCAGCCACCCGGTCTAGCGCCAGCGGCTAGGGCCCCTTGCCCCCCAGCATAAAGCTACTCGAAGTTGTAGGCGTCCTTTATTCACATTTTACATATGATGATGTTGTCCGTCGCATGACAGTCAAACCGACGTTTAATACTCGGAGCTGGAACTTAGCCAAAGTGCAGAACCAAATTGTAATGTATTTGTTTTTGGGTGTGTAGTCATTGGTGACACGTTTGAGGCCGTCAACTTATCACAACTGTGAAAGCCAACTTCCATCACATGAAATGCATTTAATTCAATATAATGTATGATGTATGTTTTCGATTTCTTTTTTAACGCCTCATCGTTGTAATTGTATTTTAAGTCATGGCTTTTGTACTTCTGGTGACCCAGGCTTCTCTTGCAAGTGGAAATATGCTGCCTCGTGAGCTCTCACATGGCTAAATAAAACAAACTTGAAACTGTAAGCCGGTCCCGATCTGAATTCGAAACCCGAGATCTCAGCGACGACAGCTCAGGGCTCTGACCTGCGAGCCACCCAGCCACCTCTAATTTAATTGGCGCGTGTTACTCGAGATTCGGTGATGGCTACACGAAGCAGAAGCAAAAAAAGCGCACGCTGGTGTGTGCGCGTGTGGGGTCATTTCCTATGTTCCGGGGAACCGAGCTACACTTCTCGGTGGTGTGTGGCAACAGTGCTTTTCCTGTCCGGTCCGCACCATTATTTATTTACTGCTGGCTACCACACACTCGGCGGCGACACAACCCAACGACGCTAAAGCGTGCATGTCACTGCCGTTCTTGGACGTCCTCTTAAGCTCCCCGCATTGTGATGGCGGTGGTGGGGGAGGGCAAGCACCAACTTGAATTTGGGGTTCTTAACGATGCAGCGGCTCTCTAACGATTCGATTACATTTTCATAATTCGAGGTCGCGATTTCATTCGAGCGGCGGTTATTTTTTCGGCTCGTTTTTTTCCCCCGTCTCATCTGCAGTGGCGTAGTCACTGGGTGTGCCGGTGGTGCACCTGCACTGGGGACCAAGGCCCAGGGCGGGCCCCAGTTTCCGGGCTATGATGAGAGGAAGGAATTCAACAAGG